CATCGCTCAACTCAAGAGTCCAGCACCAGTACATCGGAACATATAGGTGCAAACATGGCTATGATATTAAAGACGGACATCAAGGATGCCAGTGAGTTCGGCTCTGCCGTTTTCGCCAGATCAGTTGGAACCGGTTTTCGGGGGTCTATTATTTTGGATCCACGGCTTTGGCGCACCCCAGACGTAGCACTTTCATGGATGGCGAGTCCGGCTGACGGTCGCTGCTTACCCAACGAACGCAGTTGAGTACGGTCGGATACTAGCGAGTCCGATTTGGAAATTTGCTACGGCAGTTGACCGCGTTAACCTGATAACACCTCACCGATCTCGTTTTCTTTCTGCACAGAAAGAAAGAAAGCGTTCAACTGTAGCACCCTTCCGGTGCCTAGCTGCCGTGCCAGCCGAAGGAAGCACGACGGTTGGGATACTGGCAGGTTGCCCAAGCCTAGACAGCGGAAGTCGAGTGGCGGAGGTCGGATTCGAACCACGAACCTTCCGGTCAGTAAATTCGCGCTCTAACCATTTGGGCCATCTCGCACAACTGTTAATGGGCCCACACGATCCTTTCCGTCCCACATCAGTCGGCGGTGTAATAAGTTCACATCTCTAGCGGGTACATTATGCTCTTCACGTCAAGCCGATGAGCTGATTGTCGAGGTCATCTCAGATGAAACCGTTGTTGAAGAAATGATTTGCGCTTCGTATGCTGTTGTTACTCTGTATCCACCCTCAGAATGGTGGCTCCAGCAGCTTTACTGAGGGTTATACCCACATTTACAACACGATTTTTGTTTTAAAAAATTCATACAAACCGCTTTCTGACAGACAGTAGATATCACATTTAGTCCCTCTGTTGTGCAAGTTGAGACTACCCGTTGTCCAATTGTCGTTTACGTTCTCTGGAACGAATTTCCATGAAGTTTAAGAACCGTGCATACAAGGCAACGTACCTTACATCATAGTTGTGGAACTTAGCCCCTCGTTCTAGGACCGTAAACATCGTTAAACTATTGATCCCATTCCTCCGCAGCATAGCGACAATCAGATTGCTGCTTCGTGTACGCGATCTGGTGTATCTTGAGCGGATACTTGATAGTGATTTGGAATTTTTTGAGTGGTGACTGAAACTTACGGCATGTGCTACGCATGCCCAGTCACGGCCTACCCAAGAGGGTTTTTCGAACAATTGTTGATGGAAGGTTTGCAAGGTCAGTCTGTCAGTTATTAACTGCAAACCATGAACCAAGGTTAACTTGTTTCTACTTGCTACGGTTTCGATCACCAGAAAATGGGGGACCGTGGGAGATATGACTAAGTATTGGAGACGATGACATGCCCAGTTAATTTTGAAAACTCAGCTGCTCAGGGGCGAGACAGCTCAGTGGTTAAAGCACGAATTTACTGACTGGAAGGTCCGTGGCTCAATCCCCACCTCTGCCTCTCGACTTCCCCTGCCTGGGTTTGGGCAACCTGGCAGTATCCCAGCCCTCGTGTTTCCTGCGGCGGCACGGTAGCTAGGCGCTGAAAGAATGTCACAGCTGGACGATTCTTTTAAGCTGATGCTCCCACCAGACTTGACCGGTACCTCGGAGGCACAGGTAGTCAAACACTGGCAGCTTTTCGTACATCCCGTGCACGCGGTGGCCAAGTTCTTGACCCTTAAAGCAGAATGGATCTCACTCTGCTCTTGACAGACAAACTGATGTCACAGGGGCACCACAGAAGCCGGCGGTTAGCGGAAGTTCCCCTGGCGTTGCTGATTTGAAAAGTAGTCTCATCTCCAGCCAGCCCAGGTAAACAAGTTTATCTGTCGTGTGGAATGACCAGTGTACAAGTATGGGGTTTTGATCTGATCCCTCCCCGTCTTGTAGCATTTCTCTACGCTTTGCAGGTGTGAAGCACACGCTAAACCGTGCGGCAGAATTATTCAAGTTATTTAAAATGGTTTGCATTTTCAAGCATCCGATTCAGGAGGAGCAATATCGTGCGTGTACTCAGTGGCTATGAGCGAACATCTCGGGAGCATTTCACTCCCAAGGTTTCATATGCACATTGAGAAGTTTCAAGCAGCACATCAATAACAAATAGGGCAGTCTTGTCTTATGCTGCTGAACGCGGTGAACTCAGGTGACAGCTCGCTGTATGCTTGTACTCACCCACAGGAGTTCCCATACAGTGTCCCCGTAAGAGATGTAGATCTAGAAGAGGCACGTTTGATCGCCAGATACCTCCACACTTTCCGACGAATGACAGTCGAAAGTAGCTTTCAGTTAAGGAAAGACGGCATTTGAAAGCGTGCCGCTGTTCAAACATCGGTGTCAAGGTACAGATATGGTTGATGCATCCTCAGTCAAGGTGAAACCCAGTTTGATTCTTACTAGTTTGTTTCTCCCGTTAATCGGCCAACTTACGTAAAACAATGCCAGAGGTCACCTCGGACCTCACGGCTACCAGTTTATTACAACGATGGTTTTCGTATAAGGTTCTTTTGCCCTTTTCAAAACTGGGATATCGGTCGAGGCGCTCCATTAGACTGATATTCTGCTTTGTTCCGAAATCCTCCACAGTAGAATCCCCACTTAGTAGATCTTGACATTGTAGCGTCAAATGAAAGTGGCTGCAGTCAAACTGGGTCCTGTGAGATCTTGGGGCGTTCCTGGCTGAGGCCGATGTGGTCTTGTTCAAATGTGGCTGGAAACTGTGCAGCACATGGCATGCAACAGATTCCATTAGCGCAATATTTTATCTCCTAGGCCAACTGCTTAGCTAAAGTTCACTTGTCTTGCGCTGGGCTCATGGTGGTTGAGGTTCGCAAAAGACGCCAGGTCAGTTCCGCTGCCTTACCCGACTCCATGTTCACATATGTTTGCTTTAATTCTGTTTATAGGCGTAGGCACCTTATTCTTAGTCGTTTCAACTCCCAATCCATCCCTTCTACTCCCTACTGGAGATTTCCTTCCTTGTGGCTGTATGACGGCTGAGTCTCGGCGTGTATCATTGGTGTATTGATGTCAGGGACGATAACGTTGAATGTTTGAAAGCCCAAGACGGTCAGGCTGAGAACATTATGGAGTCAAAGTATATTTTGGTGGTCCTCCTGTCTGTTGGCTTGTTTCTCTGACGGGAGGTGCAGAACTCGCTTTAGTGAGATAGTTCGCAGAAAATAGCCGAAGAAAACGAGTATCGTTTAATGCTTAATGGTGCTTCAGAGACATAATAAGAGCGAACGATTTTTTACTTCTGATGTTTACGGTATTTCACATTTGCCCAAGATGAAGTAGGATTTTGTTTACGAGGCCCTACCCGGGGACTGGCTGAAGAACTTAGCCCGCATGGCATTGGGGCGTAGCATGGAATATGAAGCTCATCATGAGCTGGTAACCACGAAGGTAGCTCATATACCCCTTGGATGCCTGAGTCGAACTCGTGTCCTATTTGATTTTGGTGCACAGAGATGAGAAAAAATTGGCAGCAAGCTTTTCATATATTCTGGTGGAAAGTTTCCTTTCCGTTTGTCCTACGTATCGTTAGTGGTAATCCTTATATTGGTTTTTTGTATAGGAAGTTCTTCAGATTGAATCCAATTTTCCTTTTTGGTTTCGGTAGTGTCGTCCTCAAGGTGTTCGTAGGTCCATAGGTCAAGTACTCTTTAATTTGACGAAGGTAAGATTGCTACTGAACACCAAACGACTTGAAGCTTTATGCTGTGAAATTTAGTGATTTTTTTGTTGTAAGATCAAAGTGCCCAGTATTTGCCAGAAACTCTTTCGCAGTAGTTTTGAGGGTGAATAAGTACGAACTGAAGCAGTCTTTTTGTATGTTTAATACCTGTGGGTGTAGTTGTTTTAAACTATCTTCATCCTCATCACCTTTGGGAGAGTAGGATACCTCCTTAGCTGCTGCTGACTTTCACGAAACGCTCTCAATTAATCAATCACGTTAACAGGTAATAGGTGATCTTCAAAGGATATGTAGACGCACACAGGCAGTGAAAGTGCCCACCCAACTGCGCACTGATGATGCCTCCTCGTATGGTGACGAAACGTCTGCAAGTCAATTGCCAAGCTCGGTAAACGGATCAACAGCCACCTGATCGACAACCAATAAGATTCACAATGCAACCTCTATATTGTGGTATGGTAAAACTATGGGCAAAAGTCGGTTATGTTTGGAACCGTTCAGTTGGGTGCAGGGTGTGGGATTGTGTTGAACAGAGGGATAAAAAGGTCGCTACAACAAATCCAAATAATGTGGAGATAGGGTTTACGAAATTTCGAATAGCGTTTATCTAGACTTGCTCGTCCAGTCCCACCAAGTTAGAGCCTAACCGAGAAGTTTCGGATGGTTAAAACCTCCGCCTAACGCGGACGTCTTCTTTTATTTTGATGACTGCTAGCCCGGAATGAGTTTCTTGCCAGTGCACTCAGCTACGTTTAATTGTTTTGTGGTGAAGGTTCATGGCACTACTGACCGAAATGTATGCTACCTGGCAGTTACGAATTGCGGCCGGAGGCATGCTTTTGTGCTCCACTTACATGCTCCCAGTGTCACGTTGTTCGAGAATAGACCCACAGACGCAGTTAGGTGCAATGGTATTCTGGTTGTTTCAACCAAGCGTATTACGTCAGTTAGGTGGAACATGCACGATAGTCGGCGGCAAATGTAGCTGCCCCAAATTCATTTACGATTCGCAAGATATCAAAGCACTTCCAACCGCACGCCAGATTGCGATCGAATGTCTCACAAAAGCAGTGGGAGTATCCTCTCTGTTTTACTCACGGTCGTGTATGCTCAACCTCGGTTGGGATACTGCCAAGTTGCCCAAACCTAGGCAGGGGAAGTCGAGAGGCAGAGGTCGGATTCGAACCACTGACCTTCCGTCCAGTAAATTCGTGTTCTAACCAATTAAGCCATCTCGCCCCCGCATACAGGTTGCTCCGATAGTGCGAAATTACATGAGCTCTAGTAATCGAGTTTTCTGCTGATTCACTTCACTTCGATTCCTTTATGCATTTCTTTTGACTAATTGTCTTATTAGTCGCGCCACAGTGCGGGGCCCACCGCACTACGCCTTATCTCAATCAATTCTGTGTCTTGATTCGTGAAAATTCGTTGGTATCTACAACAAACTGATCTCACATGTATCTACCGGTTTCATTTGGGGCAGATTCCACGAATACCTAGTTTTCAAGTGCACAGTACTTCGATATTCTACTACCCCCTTCGTTTATCAACACCTCTGTGCCCGGTTGACGAATCCATCTTCGTTTAGCTATTTGCCCGTAACAGGTGCGTCTTTATCAGAGCACTTAGGACCGTCACTTGTTACGTGCTCTTCGGCAACCCGGACCGCTACGGATTTTCCCTGATTTACGCCTGAGGGCGGTAACACTTTCATCGACCCCTCAGGCCTTCTTATGGTTTGAATCTTCCACATTATGGTTGATGTGCTAATCCAATTGACCCCTACTTACCATATATTGCTTGTGTGGTACCCATTTTACATTTGGTACCATCAGTTAATGATATAACAGTTTACCATTCAATTGTACAACTGGGTACATTTCCTCACCTGCGTTCAACCATTCATCAATAGAAGCAAAAGTTGGTAAGGGGTTGGACTACGAGTAACCCCGATACTCGTGAGATTCCAACCATCACAAACTAAACGTTACGTTCCGAGAATTCTTGTGTGGTCTTTATCAGACGACGTATTTCTGTTTCTAGTCTAATAATTATCATTCTTGATGGGATTTGTATTATTCTAACTGGAAGTAACCAAGTGCTCGGCTCAGTATTTGTATGCAGTTATTTCGTGCTCACTGTTCACACGCACCAGTGCCTATCAGAACCACTAACCATCTATTTCCTTTCATCTCAGCTGGACCAAGCTTTCATGAAACAAGTTTTTGCCAGTATGAAGGGTGATCCCGCTTCATCCATTCCACTGGCCGGTGAAAAGTATATGTGCTTGCGAAGCAGTCCTGATTGTTGGCTCGGAAGAAAAGAGAAGAAAGCCATCTTCGTATACCCATGCAGAACGAGTAAGTGGCTTCATTTTCTTTTTATCTCCACGTTTACCGGTGATCTTTGTTTGAGAACTTTTATTTGACTACCGAAGTACTGACAAAACTAATCGGACTTCCACCTCACCAAAGTGAGATTCGTTGGGTCGGTCTCGTAGACACCGCAATTACCTCATCCCAATTCTAGTCGTAACTTGGGGTGGATTTTTTATGGGGCTCATCGCTCACTGATCCCAGAATCCTCCCGATCCGTTTCATCATGACTAATTTATTACTTGTGGACTATGCCGTGGTGCATTATGTGTGGGTATCCATTTAAATTGGTACCACCATTTATCCAAGATTCCGTATACTTTTATTCCGTTTTCACTGGATCGATTTGGTGCTACTATTTCCATTTCCTTCGTTCCAGTCGCCGTTGTGGGTTTGTCACAAGATACGGAGTCAGCCAACAATACGAGTAACGGGAGTGACTCAGTCGCCCGACTCGCCGAACTCTATATGAAGAGCAATTACTGAGCGTGTTTCACGAATTTACTCTTTCCACTATGGAGAGAGTGCGATTCCGCTATCCACGTCGGCCGTACTGTTCGCCATTTTCGAAGCGTAGTGTTCGATTGATCCGTTTATGTTTAAAGTTTTCCAATCCGATTTCTATCTTCTCGACTGTATTCATGTCACTGCGCGTATCGTTTTGCTGAGGGAGAGTTCACCTCTGCCTGACATTAAGCTCTTTTTATATGTACTGACAGACCGATTTTCCGTTCCTCTCCACCCATTCTCCCCGCTACTCTTTCTTTCAAAATCTACCTGATTCCCCTAGATATTCACAACTCTCCAGAGTTTAGGGCCAGTTGCTCGTGCCATTTGCGTATGGTTGCGCGTTCTGTTAAGTCGGTATTTTCGCATTGAACCTTGTTCCTGTGCGTATGTGTGTGAATCTTTCCTTCTATCAACCTGATGTGAAGCGCAATGAATTGCTTTTCGGTACATTTTACCTCTGCTAAGATGGATGGAGGCAGCTTTCTTCGTTTATTCTAGGTTGTATTTCGACAACCGGTTGTGTGAAGTGCCGGAACACACTACTCATACGGTTGTTGAGAACTTCGATGGCGAACTTAGTAGTGGTGTGCTCTATCAAGAAAATATACTGCAATACCTCGAATATCGTACCAACTGAAGCAAGAGGCCGTGTTACGTTTCTAGGGAAACAAAGTCTTCTCTGAGTTGAGTGGTACGGTTTACCATCGTTCATCGAGTAGGTGACTCCTTCGTCCGAGGAGGTAGCACATATCTGAACAGGTAGTCATTCAGACAGGACGAAGAAGCTAATTCGTTCTACACTCAATGAGTATTGTCTGCTCCTTTTCCATAATCCATTTTTGCGTCTAAAATAAGTTCGTTTCAGCCCCAGAGTGTCGATCGTCTGAGGAGCGCTATACGAGCAATCCGGCAAGTCTGGTGATCGTGTATGCTAACTCAGACCGGGTCTGTGCTGTAGTAACCAGGTGTCACGAAAGTTTAGTAGTCGTAAAGTTAGCAACTGATTATTTATTACAAGAGGGATTAGCTGTACTGTGGCGCATTTTGAACCCATTTGTGTCAATATGATCTTCACTTCGGTGCAACATCCAGTGTTGTGTTTCTACAGTCAGCAGACCTAGCGATCAGCGAAACAGTTGGAATGTATGTGGACAAGCAACATGAGTTTGGTTAGCTTGCCTCTAAGCTGATCATGGACTTGACAAGTCTATCTGCCTCCTCAAGTATGTGCCCATCATTATAGGAGGATACAGTTTAGTTTTGTGCTAGGGCTGCAGATCTTTGTTGTGCAAGCCATGGTAGGTGTCAACTAGAACTTAACTTAAAAAAGCACCGAGAAGAGTAGTGGGGAAGAAGTTGCAAGCTTGAAATATCACAGTGGCTAAGGCGAGAGTCTACTGACCGGAAGGTCTGGTTCCGATATCCAGGTTCGGCAGTGTGATCCTTCGGGGTGTGTCTCACCGAGTGTAGATTGCGCGATTTCAGAGCCATCCCACGTCTTACACATAATCGTACAGCCCCTACAATGACAGGCTCTTGGATCAAGGTTGGCAGATATCCTTATGGTCAGACTATCGTAGAGTGCAACGGCTGAAATTCGATCGTATCGTCTTCACCAAGTATATTGGGATACTATGTTAAACATTGCCCAGGGCAGGTGCCACGTTGAAAACCACAAAAACTTTGATTTTGCTTGTGCGTTCTAACGAAGCAGCCGATCCCTTCTTTGTCTAAAGAAATCCAGGCGGCCTAATGCAGTGTTGCGTGTATCACAAGCCCACTTTGGCTTGGCAGTGTCTATTCCACAGAACCAGATACACTGGATGAGATTCAGCTGCTCACAGGCGTACTACACCCGAATAATTATCCGGATAGTTTCGTTGAGACGCCTGAAGGTATGCGACAAGCTGGCCCCACGTCGGCAATGTTGCATAACTCCTGTTCAACGGACAGGTGTGGCTCTGCGATGGACATTATTATGTTTTGCAACCCAAATTATAAGCACAAGGGTTTTAACTGCTACGTATCTTACCTACCAGTCCACCTACATCTGCAGTGAAACTTAGACAAAACTGACAATCGTCGTTCGGTCCAGAGAACGGATTTGTGCACTGCATCTTGACATGGATACTTGAATGAAAAGTCCGGTTGATAGGTCAAGAAGCACTCTTGTTTGCAACCGAGCCTAAACTTGACATTCGCTCATCACTCCTGATCGATACAATGTGCAGTCGATCAGAGTGAATTTTCTCCAGACTTTGTTAGTCAATCGATTGGAACCACCGCTATGACCTCTAGAAGAACCGGTCGGGAACCTGAGATGACCGCGGTTTTACATACCGGTTTACGTTATATGTTGCTTAGTTAAGGATCCCGTCGTTGGTCTAATTTTTTATTCTGACCGTTTGACGGACGAAAGTATATGAAGTGAGTCCATCCAGAAACTGTGTTGTTCCCACAGTACCACCCAGCAACAGCAACTTGTTAAGGCTAAACCACTGGTATATGAGGGAAAGGAATCTTTGAATCTGCTTACCAAAGGTGTATTTCTGCTGTATCCATTTGCATTGTTAGGTACATTCTTGTATCAAATAACTATGCGTTCTAACTGACATCAGTTTCAATTTTTCGGTGGCCTGTGGATGACGATGGTGTCCGTCCTCTTCAGTGTTCCGTAGGATGGCATGATTTCCATAGGAACAACCGGATGAAATCGCTGAACCAGTCCAAACAATGGTTGGAAGTGAGCCATGTGATAAATCACAGTCATGTGACGACTTTCATTTCTAATGTCTATTTCATAGTACTCGCTCAAGGCCACGGTAGTCAGCTTGGGCAGGATATCAGAATCAAGAGGTGGATTAGTGAGGCGCCGCTAGGCGACAGTCAACAACTTCCGGTGGGATGGCTTCGGCAGGAAACGAAGGTTGGGAATCTTCTACTAAAACTGAAACCTAGGTTAGAAGTACCCATCCTAACGTTTTGCTAGCATTGCACGAAAACCCGCCATGTCTGTCGCACTTACTAATCATTTCACTCGTTTTCCTTCTACTGTCACCTTCGCTTTCAGGACTCTGGAAATCAGCATTTAGGTTTCCAGCCTCCTACATTCTACTACTCTTGGTTCTTCCCGAGTACGATACGACTAAGGTTGGTAGTAAAACCCATCACACGAGCGATATGTGTGACCGCAGCATACTGGCTTCCGGTCTTCGTTCGGGACGGTCGTGTGTTGCTGCCTGTTGGTCCTCGCTGTATATTCACTCCCCATGACAGATGTGTAGCAAATGAGCGTAATGACTGGCAGTTCCAGTAGTAAACTGAGCACTCAGAGGGTCGATTAATACAGCTGACTTTGTTGCACTCTGTCTTGGTATTGTACCTATATATGATGTGACGTTGAAAGATAAATTGCGGTTAGGTGGCTGTATCCACTCCTGTAGAAGTTCATGGGGAACCGTACTTGAATTTAACATACCTGATAATCTCGGACGCTGCTTCCGTCTCTCAACATCGCTTTCGATCAATGACATTGCTGTCCTTGAGAATTCGCATACCATTTATTAACTTAGACAATTTCGCCGTACTGGCACACGCCTCACACCTGCAAATTAAAGGCTACTGTCGCGAAATTCCTTCGGATGAAACCAAGGACTTATGGTAGATAAATTCCCTTACCTACTTGTACAAATACCGGTGGACTGGTGCAAAACAACCATTACTTGAGTTGGATAAGCCAACCTCGAACACCGACTCGATACGTGATTCATACTGCTTTATCCGCATGCAGATGTGCGAAAAGCTTCGGAGTTCGACCATCAGCGTCTCTGAAACAATGTCTTGGTCTGGTGAAAAAATCTGTTCAGTAATGCTGAAGTGCACCAGATGGATCCTGGAAGGAGAAGCTCTCATGATCGATGCCCCTTTCGCACTCCGTAGGCTACGCCGATTAGGTCATATGCTTTACGCGGAAGACCGTCTGCAACAGCTGTACTTAACTGTATTCTGGGTCCAAAAGACCGAAAAGCGAACCAACGCATTGGGAAGCTCTAGCCGGTAAATCTACTCGAGTTAATCACCACTATTTCCTCTAATGGGGACTCATTAATAAATCACGGCATTGGTTAAGCTCACCGTCAAACATGGGTAGGTTCCTTAGCCAGTGGCGCTCTTTTATCATAGATATCGCCCTTTGCACAGCTGTCCGATTTCGCGCTTAATCAAAACAAATGAGATTGGAGTCCCATCCTCACTTTTCTAACCATCGGTGAGCAAAATTGCAGCAGCCAGGACTGACGCACCCACGATACATAATTAATGGCTGAACAACTGATTTGAAGAGTAAATTGAAAAAGTGAAATCATGCTAAGATGTTTGGAACGGTTTCTGTGTGGCTCCTCTTCCAAACTATTCAAAATCCCTATATTTGTCACTGGTTCACAGTAATGTCTGGACCACGAATGTTTTCGTTCACTCCAGCAAAGTCCGAATAAGAGGCACAAAATGGTGCTGTCTGTCACGGATATTAATACCTACATAATAGCAAGAGCAGTAGTAATTAGTAGTAGCGCGCAACAAGGTAGATTTTTTGATAAGCCAAGTCAATTTTGATCAAGAAGTGCCCGTTGATGGGATGGGACTGTATCATTAGCCCTAATGGTACAGTCCCATTTTTGCGTGACGGTATAACTGTAAATGGATGTCAATAAAATAGGACACTCTAATCATGTTGGTTCCACTTGGGGAACAAATCAACCGTCTGGAGTAGCAACAGTCCTCTTCCCCTGGATCCTGTCAGATTTATTTCCTCAGGTGGGATTTGAAATGAGAAAAACTCCGTGCTAGCAGAGAGTGTAAGTTGCTCTTGAGAAGAGCAACTCCTGCTTATCGACCGGTACCTGCAGCGTTCCGATTACATCATGAGCTTTTGGAACTCACTGAGCGGTACATACAAATACGACCTCGTAGACTCGTGAAGCGATTGTCAGCGCCGTCATCTATGCCTGTATGAACGAATAGCTTCTGTGTAAACTAACGATTTTTGATCGATGAACGCAAAACAAGATGACTTATCACGATGATGAGTGAGAAACTGAAATACTATAAGTTGTTACACTCCATGTTACGGTCTTATTACCTTCAATCGAGTCCGGTCAATGAGCGTGAGCTGATGGGGCGGTTGAATGTATCAGCACCGCTTGTGTCGACATCGATACGACTTGTCGGTTGGTCAGTGAACGTAGGTCGATAAGACACAACAGTTAGATTGCAGTGTTTCCTCTTCCAGTTGGACAGCCAGAAATTGTATCTCATTCGCATAGACAAGCTTGTTTCCTTTTTCGTTCTTCGGGTCTCTTGTGAAGGGGGGGGGGTAACCGAACAACCTGGTAATGTGGACAATGCGGTTCCAGATACGGAACCTTAATTCACGCGTAGGCTTGACGGTCCCGAATAACAAAAGGGAGAGTTGCTTTCGAAACGTAAACAAAATTACAACCTCAAATATCCATGTTCATGTGTAAGTCTGTTACCGACCGACAGCGCAGTGTCCAGGTTCGCACACCGGACAACGGCAAGGGGAATGTTGGCTCGGCAGTGT